AAGATAAATTGATATTTTTTTCATCAAAATAAAGACAAGCGAACAAGCTTTAGGGTGATACCAATAAATCTACATGCCCCAAAATTGACGAGAGCCTGATTCCACTCCGCTGCCTCACATGTTTTTTTTCTTGACTTCATAAATGTCCATCAATATTCCTCCTGTGACCACAGAAGGTCCAATGATGCTTTTTGTTGTAGCCATTAATTCTTTATTAGGCTATCCCTATTTGGTCTGGCAAGTATTGACTTTTTGCTCTTCATTAAAGTGTGTTTGTGTGGATATTTGCTATTTCATGGAGTTCAGTATGACAGTAACTATTCCATACATGCATCATTTCGTTCTTCCTCCTTTTCACAGATCAGCCAAAGTGTCGCAGGGGCAGCGAAAGATAGCCCACGTCCAGTAGCCAAAACTCAGACAAGTGAAGACGACTCTAACAAACCAGCACGCTACGTGAGCATGTGTTACATTCCCCCGCTCAACACCCAACCTGTGGATGACCTTGGATTGCGGTACAGGATCCGGCCGGGTGCCGAGACCCACGACGAGCCCTCTGGGACACAGTTCAGGAGGGCTCGGGGGTTCAGTGTACCGAACACGGGCTACTTTGTAGATGAGGCTGATACTGTCGCTTACCTCCAGGCCAGAAATAACAAGGCTGCTTACCCTGCTGAGCCCTCTTTGGCGTTTGAGCATGCAGTGACAGTGTACGACCCAAGACTTCCTACTTACAATGCTGCTAATGCTGCGGAATTCAGACGCGCTCAGAATGTCAACAATTCTTATTTTGAAAACCAAGATGGTATTTCTCGGCCCCAGGGCTCTCGTCAGCCGCATGGAGGCCAGGCCCAAAGCAAAAGTGATCAAGGATATCTGCCTAGAGCTGATGACTCGAATAAGATTTTTACTTCCCCGTTATATAGCCACCAAATACACCCGGGAGCTTCACGGCATATTTCTCAGGTGTCCTATCGTGTTCGGCCTGTCCGCATGCGGAGTACAAGTGGACTGTCTGACGACGGCCTGGACCGAGACACAAGAAATGACGTTCCTCTGTCCGAGGAGCTTGCTCAAGCAACAAACGCAAAGCAAAAAGATATTCCCGGATTGTCACAGACTCCAAAAACATCCCCCTCCGCCTCCGGGCACACACCTTCCACCAGCTCAACCACACAAATCAGCACCATCAACATCCCTCCCAGCCCGCTGGTTCAACGCACCACTGTTACCATGACCACAACGCCAAAAAGATACAAGGGAGGCGAGGGGTTCAATTTCCCGCCTCTCGCGGGTAACCTTTCTGGATTTGAATCCAACAGCCGCCAGCAACAGCATAGCACACCCCGTGATCCCCCGACCACCTCTCGGCAGAAGTCGTGTGATATACTGGAAGATGATTCACTCTTTGGAGTCCAGATAGACGGGAGCTTCCCACTTCAGAATCGACAGAACGCGTTGCACAGTAGCAACCAGGGGCGTGCGTACGTCCAACATCCGGCTGTTTTCAGAGACGGACAAAGGGGGAGAGGAGGTTCCACCGAGGATTTCTCTCAATGGCAGCACGTGCCGCACTGGTTTAATCAGAACGCCGGTGCTGGGTATGCTTACTCTCTGCCCCCCAGTGCGCTCTCAAGAACATCCGATGATCTCGATACTCTGTCATCGATGGCTGAGACCAGCTCTGATTTCTCAATCCAATCCTCCCCTGAAGGTCACACAAAGACGGGAGTTTTGGATGCCCGCAAACTGGCCAGAATGATCAATCAGCCGATGTACTTCAAGGTGAGACAACTCAGTGTTTTGTAGTGGAAATGGAAAGTAAGTTAATTTCATCCACAAGGCAGGTTGGGTTTTTGATTTATCTTCACTGCTCTTTTTCAAATGCAGATTTAACTTTGCAGACTCCTCATTCCGCATCAGGAGTAATGAACAGTTCACAGTGGAAAGGGGTATAAAATAAGACTCTAAAATACATTTTTTTGCCTTTGGGAATCCTCAGCTTCATTTTTCCTTTCTACTTTTCCCTGGCTATATTTAGCGGGTGCTTGGTGGGAACCACTGGTAGGTCCTCCTTTTCTTTCCTTCTGTTGCTTTTTTCTGTCAGTTTTCCTCTTTTCTAACTTTAAATTACCGTTATTTATGAGCAGGGCCAAGTACTCCTGTTTTCATATTTCTGTGTTTAGTAATCTTCAAAGCACAAAGCGGAAATGTCCAGTAGAGTCTTTCCAATTCCAATGTTGTTATTTCTTAAAAGAGAAATTTATGATCACTTTATAGTGTGTCAGAATAATTGTTTTCAAATGCACTTTGTTCATTGTTTCATGACATTTAAAAAAATCTTTAATAGCCCTCTAAACACAGTTATTGTATCAAAGTAAAAAGGAAAGATCAGTAAAGGAATGTTTACTAACTGGAAGAGCTAAATTGGTGCCTATATTCCACACTTTATCTTTTTTTGTCACAATAAGTTAAATTTTTATGTTGCAATTGTCTCAAACCAATTTCATTTTTATGTTTAGCCACCATCAGCATAACTTGTAATGTGTAATTTGTTTTTGTATGTGAATCAGGGAAAGAGACGGGCAGGTGCTCATTACCGCCCGCGACGAGTGTTCAAAGAGTGGTCAGTGCTGGGCAAGAGAAAGGTGATTACTTACTCAGTGACTTTAGGACACTTTTCTGTCTTGATGTCTTTTCTTTATGAAATAGCCATTTCTGAGATGTTTTTTTTTTTAATTTAATGAAAGTATCAATATTTGTACAGTGCACCTATAACTTTGTACTGTTGTGCACCTATAACTTTGTACTGTTGTTTTTGTGAATGTGTTGAGATGTATGGAGAATACTTTTCAATGGCTGGAATACTAAGTCCAGTGACTTTTTTAATATTCTTGTTGTATCAATATTTTTGCCAGATTTTTTAATGTTCAGTATTATGCTAAGAAGGCTTTGCTAAAATGTAACTCCAGAGAGACAAAAATGCAATTTGATAGGAGTGTAAAAAAGGGACGAAAGAAATGTGAACTGGCTGTTTTATAAGTATTTAAAGTAAATATCTCTTTTCAAAGGAGCAAGTTTCAGTTTGTTATTGTTATAATAAAAGCCGCAGGAGCGTAACTCTTGTATGTTAAATGATCCTGCTTTTTCACATTTTATGATTATATATTATGAATTATATCAAAACTGTTAACTCTTTTGTAAAATTCCACTCATCAGCGACTGCAAGAGGAGAATCGTCTGCTGCAGTATTCACTACAAAAGTACAAGACTGAGCTGAGCATTATGGAGACGTCGTTCATGGTGGATTATCAGGCTGCTTATGATGACATGACAGAGGAGGAGAGGTGGGTCCTGTTTGGGGAATGAAAGGCTCAGAGATCTTGCAACAGTCCAGTGTAGACAATGAAATGTTCTGAGATTTTGCAACAGTCCAGTGTAGACAATGAACTGTTCTGAGATTTTGCAACAGTCCAGTGTAGACAATGAAATGTTCTGAGATTTTGCAACAGCTTTGTGTAGACAATGGAAGGTTCAGGGACTCTAATCTGTATAAGACCTACTGCTTGGTGGATGGTGAGGGCTTTGTCGTCCTTATGATCTCTCCTCTTTTTCTGATCAGGTTACTCTTTAGTAATGTCTCTAATCTTTGGTACTTCTATGACCTAATTGTGTTGCAAATGCTGTAAAGTTCTTACTCCATTCCCAAAGGGGGGAATATCAACAAGTTCTTATGCACAGTAGAAGTGTTAATGATTTATCAATTTACTGCTCCTACTGTGCCAGAACAACATAGGGGTAACTGCTACTTTTTCTTTCCTCATCCTATTGTCTTTTTTCCTCCATTTCTGTTGTATGTTTGTCACTCTCTTGTGAACTGCTATTTCCGGGATGCCTTGATAGTGGAAGCAGACTTTGTGCTGTTGAGGCTAGACAGGTGAGCAGAGGAAGCCTGATTTCTCCGTTTGACTTCTCTGTTGACTTCGGCACTCACATGACCTTATGCAGTTGCGAGCGCCGTAAAACCTCTACTAAAACTAAAAACAAGTGCCGTAAAACTGTTACTAAAACTAAACTCGTCCTTCTTTTTTTGTGTATGTTACTCTCTTGTAACACATCTAATCTTCGGCACTTATCTTATATGACCATATTGTGTTTCAAGTGCCGTAAAACTCTTACTAAAACTAAAAAGTTCTTATTCAAAAACTATTGCTTGTGCGTGTCCCCAGAGAGGAGGTTGAGGAGATGGAGTGGCTGTACGGCGAGGTCAAAGGTCAGATCATGGAGATGGAACACCTGCTCCTGGCTCGGGTCAAGTCGGTGCACGCCGGGAACGACTTCCACTCCCTCATGTCCAGCATCGGGGTCATCAACAAGGTAAATATGTGCACACACACATGCCCACACACACACACATGCGCAAACACACACATATGCACACAGACACATGCATGTTAACAGACACACGCCCACACATGTGCGCGCAACAAACGCACACGCACACACACACACACCCACACACACACGCACACGCACACGTACACACACACGCACACACGCACACACACACACACACAGAGGCTTGCCGACTGTTCCAAATTCCACGGGACTGTCCCAGATTCTACAGTCAGGAATGTGACAGTCTTATCAGAAACACAACACCACAACCAGTCCCGACTTCATGTAATTTTGTTTGTTGTTACATAATCTGATGTTACAACGTTGAATGTACCTGACTGGGTGTGGAAATAGTCGACTTGACCAAAACTGAGTCGATAGTGCTGTAAAACACCTACTCAAACAAACAAGAAGGTGACAAGATTTTGAACATCTTAGCCAATGTGTGTGCCTCTTCTTTCCTATCAAACGTCTATCGTCTTTATCTCCCCTCCTTATTTTTTTTGTTTGTTATTCTCTTGTAACTCCTCTAATCTTCGGCACGATCTTATTGTGTTGCGAGTGCCGTAAAACACTTACTAAAACAAACCAAGAGGAGTCAAAATACTAAATGGAACTTGGGTTTTAAGAAAGTGAATGTTACAGCCGATAGCACGTGGGTGGTTGGCGGGTGCTCTGGTGTGGTTTGCTTCTTCTTTCCTATCAAACGTCTATCGTCCTGATCTCTCCTCCTCCTTCTATTTTATGTTTGTTACTCTCTTGTAACACCTCTAATCTTCAGCACTTATATGACCTTATTGTGTTGCAAGTGCCGTAAAACTCTTACTAAAACTAAAAAACTAAAAGCCGATAGCACGCTTTCAACATGTATGCTCTACAGAGGTTTTACTGTACAAAGGAGGGGGTCATCTCACCCTCTGACATTTGCCATGGGTGGTTGGCGGGTGCTCTGGTGTGGTTTGCTCCTCTTTTCCTATCAAACATCTATCGTCCATGTCTCTCCCTTTTTTGTCTTTACTATTCTCTTGTAACACCTCTAATCTCCAGCACTTATAAGACCTAATTATGTTGCAGATGCCATAACACTCTCTTAGATTCATCATCATCATTATCGTCATCATCGTCATCGCCTTTCTCTTTATCAGGATTATAGGCCATGGACAAACACTTTCCACCTATCCCTATTCTGGGCTAGCCTCTTGATATTATTCTATGTCTTCCCACTTTTCTGTACATCAATTTCTGTGACTCTTCTCCAGGTTCCACGTGGTCCTCCCCTGGATCTTTTACCCTGTGAATCTTAATAAATGCTCTTTCTGAAACAAAATTAATTTGCCATGTCCCCCTTTCAGATGATAGACCTGATCAAGGAGCAGCTGTACCAGCAACAGTTGTCCAACACACGGCCCGATGGCGAGGACAACGGTGAGGACGAGATGGAGGACTACGAGGATGACCCTTACCTCCTGGAGAGGGACGGCAGACACGGTCGCTCGGCTTACCTCCCCTCACACGGATGGATGCCGAGGGGCGGGATGACACGACGGTTCCAGAGTTCATCAACGTCCAACTTACCGAAGGATTTGAATGTGAGCCTCGAACAAGTAAGTTGCTGCTTTTAGAAAAATCTTTTCAAATGGTTATACATGTGTATACTTTACTTTCACTTTACTTTTCCGATCCAGCAGCCATATCTGTCCCCGTGGTTTTATGCACCCCTCATAATTTAGCAAAATTTGATAATTTTTTTGCATAATTTCTGATTATTTTCCTTTATCATTCTTTGTTAAAATTAACAGAATGGCATAATTTCACATTTTTGGGCTCAGTTTGCATAATTTCAGAATTTTTCTTGCATAAAACAGCCATATGAGTTCTAGCCTTTTACTTGTATAGTCCAACTTGTTCAAGACAATCAGTTCATTGTCAGGGGGAGAAAAGTGGTCATTTTGGACAGGTGGCCCTCTAGGACAGTGTGTTATATATTGTTTAAAGCTAAGGGAGAAGTGGGAAGTGGTTGTTTGTACAGGTCATTGTCCTGTTAGCTAAATTTGATGATTTTTGCATAATTTTTAATTATTTCCTTTATCATTCTTTGTTGAAATTAACAGAATCGCATAATTTCACAATTTTGGCATAATTTCAGATTTTTTTTTTGCATAAAAGCGTTTTATCAAGGCTATTGAATATTTTAGCTACATCATTTACAATTGTCTGTTAGTGACCTGTTCTTTTTCTTGTTCTGTATTGAGTTCTTGAGGTGATCTTTTCTTTAGACGCCGTAATCTGAAAAATCAAAATTGGTCTGAATTCATGCGTGACAGCTAACTAAATTTATAATTATTAAATCCTCAGATCAAGAGCTCTCTTCTATCCGAAGTTCAGAATGAGATCAGAGCGAGCACTCGCAGGCTTGAAGCAGATCTGCAGGTTTGTCCTTGACCTTGAATGTGTGACGATGACTACAAAATCGTAACTTTTAATTATGTTTCGCCTTTTACTTTTATACAGGATTTTAATGTTGGAACTATAGTGAGGAGGACGTTTTTGGATGTGTGACTTTTTCAGTATTTTGTGCCAGTAAATTGGCACTGATTGGACTGTTGCTGCAAGTCTGCCTTAATTGTGTGTATTGCTTTGAACGAAATTAACTAGCAGTATAATTAGCAGTAATCAAAAAGAAAAAAAAAGTGCAATGAATTAAGAAATGATGTCACAAAGATCTATTATTTAAAACTCTACACAGTTGGAAAAAGGTCATACAAAATTTGTGAGAGTCCAGCATTTTGGTCCAAGAGCCCAAGTTCTTCGCGTTCGTCACATTAATTAATATATGTGTCACGACGCAATGGAATCGGGCCCTTGTCAAAATATTGAAATCGAAAAAACTGCCTTTTTTCTGGTCGTCTAATTTTGTTTTATTGACTCAACACCTTTTACGTTCATTTAAAAAAACATTTCTGTGTGGATTTTACTGAAAAAAACATTGACTAAAAGCACAATAAATGTAAATTTTCAGTTTCCAAAGGCTCTCAAGCTTTGGAAATCACCAAATTTTTTTCGGCCACTTTCTCGCTAATTTTACATTTGAAACTAGGAGCCCCTGACCTCCTTCAATCACGAATATTTCAATTTCTATTCTGCATAGATTGATATTTTTTTCACCAAAAGGAAGGCAAATGAACAGGCTTAAAGATGGTATGGATAACCCCATATGCCCAAAAATTGGCGAGCGCCTAATTCCACTACGTCATGTGTCACGACACGATGGAATCGGGCCCTCGTCAATTTTCGGGCTTGCGGAGTTATTGGTATCGTGTCACAATACCATGTCCAAAAAAGTCAAGGTTTTCAAGATTCGTTCTTTGCTGCTGTTATAGGATGTTGTGTATGGTAGGGGCAGGAGTAAGACATTGCCATCAGGGATCCTGTAGTTGAGTGATATAAGATAAAGAAACCTTTCTGTTGTCAATAGATAAACTCACCTTAAAGAGGTATACCTGGTTTTATATATATATAGTTATCTGTTCTCATAGCCATATATCATTATTATTATTATATTATGAAATATTGTAATGCGATTTACATGTTCTGTTGTCATGAATGCTGGATCAGGATGATCCCCTTTTTTACAATAATAATCGCACTTCCTGTTTTCCTGTTGAAGAAGAGTACCACTACGTTGTGTCTACCTACCCACCAATCAACATCTGTGTGATTCTTCCATCAGGACAAAGATCGAGAGATCCAGCTGCTGAAACAACAACTTGACTCGTCCACCCCAACCGGACCGGCCAAACCGAGGTGGACACCCAAGTCGACCCCAGCAAGGCCACGGTCAAGGTCACACGGGCAAGGCTCAACTTCGTCTTCTTCGTCCGGGACCCACCCAAAACCTCGTGTGATCGGAGACAGAATCGTTCAGGAGACAGATGTATGACACCCCCCACCCCCTCCCCTTCTCCCCAAGCCCCCTTACTTTTTTTTTCCTGTTGTGGTCCAAGCAGCAGTTTGTCTTTCTTCCGGTCCTTCGTTGACTCCACCGCCATCATCCCAGTTTGTGGTACGCTTCATTCCTTCATTCCTCCACTTCCAAACCAAAGCAATATATCAGTATCTGCTCTCTGGCAGTGCACTGTCTTCCTTTCTTTTTCATACAAAGTGAGAGAATACATCTCTCTATCTCTCCTCCTCCTCCTTTTCTTTGTGTGTTGCTCTTTTGTAACACCCCTCTAATCTGTGGCACTTGTGTGACCTATTTGTGTTAAAAGTGCTGTAACTTAACGCTCATACTAAAACTTATTAAGTGAAAGGTAAGGGTGAGGACCTAGCATTCAAGTATGTCTTGTTTTTACTTCACACAGGCACTCAGGTTACGGCCAATAGACAGACCGGAGGATAATTGTGTATTTTATTTGACTTTTGGAAAGGAGAAATATTTAGTGTGGGTATCTTATGAAAACACAGTTGAGCAATGCATATTTCCAAACTGTTATCAAAGTTTTTTCAGGGCTTGTCCAAGTCTATCCGCACCCTTCATAATGTAAAGTGGAGCAGATGGTATGAAATCAGCCCTTGGATACAATTCAAATATATGTGCTCTGTAAAACAAACAGATTTTTAGAAGTAATGGGAACAAATTGCTAGTATACATTATATTAGACACATCCTGTGTTCTGTGATGAAACGTTCATCCTCAAAGACTGTCTTTCTTACATTCTGCAGTCTCTGCTTATTTCTGGCATCTTGTGGACAAAAACATTTCTCTCCACATACATGGAAGAATGCATGCCTTTTCCATTGAAACATTTGAGGTTTTTATGAACCACACACACACACACACACACACACACACACACACACATACACACATACATACACACACACACATACACACACA